ACCTCGTTTGTATCTGCTTCCACCAGCCATACCTCATCATAGCCCGAGTCCTTCTCAAACAGTTTCATTGGCAAGCCTGCAAACTCGTTCTCGAACACCAAGTCGTTCCACCACAGTAGGTCCTTGTGAAGGAATGCTGACATTGGAACTCCTCGCTTGCTCTCTTTCCGACACCGGTTCTGAACCGCTGTCAAACGCTGTATGAACGGCTTAGTGATGGGTATGAAGCTGATGACATGGCGTAGAACACCTATGAGGCTGTCCAATCGTTTTATGGATATGTAGGACTTCCCAATCGCTTCAGCTAACATCGCATGTACCTTGTCGATCTTGCGTTGAGGTACTGTGATGCACTCGTCTGGAATGTTCCAGTCGATCCCCACCGCATGGAAAACGCGCGACCAGGTCGTGAACTTGCCCTCATGCCATCCATCTGATCCAAACACGAGTTTAACTCCGTCTCTGAGACGTTTCTCTGCTTGTTGAAGTCGATCGCCAAAGTCGACTTCGATTTTCGATAAGGACGATGTCGTCCACCCACTGGAAGATCCAGAATGGTTCAGTGTGGCCAAGCAGTATCGATAATCCTGTGCGCTGATAATGGCGGACTGCTTTCCCGAACACCGCGAAGAATCCAGAAGAGGACGTCCAACCGAAAACAGCCATACCGGAAACTATGCCATGAGGACTACGCGGCAAGGAGCCCCCAAAAGCCGATGCATGACGCGCGTGGACCGGCACGTGGTGAAATGCATCGGCGATATCCGCGACCATGGCGTAGATGTTGCACCCTGGGTACCGCCGACGGAGGTCGCAGACTCTGCGAGATATAGAAACAAACGGATCCCACGTTGCATCCGGCGACGCCTCAGAGGCAGTCTGAGCGTTGACCGACTGGCCGTTCGGAGCCGACAAGTCGTGAATGATACGACCATCCACGTGAAGAGGTTTGTCCTTCTTGGGGACCAGGGCGAACGCGCTGGACTGGAATGTCGGGTCCTGTACCAACGTAGACATCCGAGCGACCAGGAAACGTCCTTTGTAATAGTCTGAGAGCAAGTTGTCCTGGACAATTTCGGCACCCGTATCGGCGCCTGGGTAGTTCGCAGGACCTGGTCGTGTGCCCGCCCGCGATGTCGGGTCCTTCCACGGTGGAGTCAAACCCTCCTGGGCGATTTGACAGAGTAACGTAAGTTCCGGGTACGACCCAAGATACTCCTGATACAACCACGGGCGTAGCGCTTTGTTCGGGCGGTAGTCGTCCGAAGTCTGACCGCGAAAGAGTTCGAGCGTACCGGCTATCCCCAGCTGGGGGTCGGCCACGAGCGCATCCAAAATGCGGAGGTCGACCTCTGGAATAGACAACGGGCCCGGCCCAGCTGCTAAGAACGCGGTCCCCAACGGGAATGGTATGTGCCGACGGGAGACCTCGGCCTGGAGCTGGGCAAACACGCTCGCCGGAACGCAGCGTCGAAGCCCTAGGACAACGCACGACCGGGTCGGAGCTGTGTCGAATCGGGACCACATCGAGCGGGCCGATGTTTCCACCCTCTGGGATGATTCTGGAAGTCGAACTGGCGGGTGCATAGGTCGATCCGCCGAGGTCGGTGCGAAACGAAGCCGAATCAGGTGTGAGACGGACATGAACTCCTGAAGTATGAGGGACCAGGCCGCCAATACGTACTTCCTCGGACTGGCCTCGACCGAGGCAACTGATGGGTAGAACTGGGTCAGCGCAGCGGGGCTCTGAGCCGGCGCGTATGACGGCTGGCAAGGCCACTCGGATCCGGTTAAGATGACGTCCGCCGCGGAAGTCGTATCCATAATCCAGTTGCACAAGGCGTCAGACGCGATGTTGTACGCACGGCGCACGTGTTGGAGATAGAACGCAGTATGTCCGGCGCCCAGGGCGCGGATGGCCCCGATCCAGGGTCGGAGCGAGGGTGCCCGGCACCTACTGAGCATCAGTGCCTGGTTGATGACGACACTAGAATCTCCGAAAACGTAGGTATGGCAGTTCGGAAAGGCAAAACGGATCCACAAGAGGCATGCGAAGAGACCCTGGGCCTCCATCACGTTGTTTGTACGTGCCGTGACGAACGTACGGGCTTCCCAACGAAGGAGAGTGTGGGAATCCGACCACACACACCAGGCGTAGGAGCTACGGCCACTGACGGCTCGGCACCCCCCGTCGAAAGACGCGAAAATCGTGGGTCGCGCAGGAGGCGGTGGCGGCCCCTCCGGCCTGGAGTCCGACTCCGATAAGTTGATGACTGCCAAGCCGCAGCCAGGGATTACGCCGTCCGATGACGCCGGTTGGACACCAGGTGTCCGGAAATCGCACGAGCCGGTGTCAGACACCGATGGGCTGGTGGTTTTGACTGCATGGGCAGGGGTGACAGCGTCCGATGACACCGTACGGGCACCAGGTGCTCCGAAATCGCACGAGCCGGTGTCAGACACCGATGGGCTGGTGGTTTCGACTGCATGGGCAGGGGTGACAGCGTCCGATGACACCGTACGGGCACCAGGTGCCCCGAAATCGCACGAGCCAGTGTCAGACACCGATGGGCTGGTGGCTACCACTGCGTGTGCATGAGTAGCAGCGTCCGATGACGCCATTCGAGCACCAGGTGCACCGGCAACACGCGGACTAGTGTCAGACACCGTTGGATCCAGTGGTAGGGCACACTGAGCTCCAAGCCTGGCGATAGGTGACCCGGCCTGGGCACCAGGTGCACCAGGGCCAGGGAGGCACGCGTCAGACGCGACCAAATTAGTGTGTGGGGCGGACCGAGTGTCTGACACCCGGAGCAAAGTGGTGATAGCGTCAGACGCAGAAGGACTCACGGGAGGAAATGAATCAGCAGTGGTCATGTTTAATAAACGAGACGACAATTGAGATTGCAATCCCCCCCAACCATTCACACCCGCTGCAGGTGTGCGGCCTTGAGACCGGCGTGCATTCCGGTCACTCACTTCACTACGTCTGGCGGGAACTCATGAAGTTCATGCAGATGGCTGCAAGTGAGGAATGTGCACCCTTTACGGACTGGATCCGAACGCACACCTGCTTGCCGTTAACACCCGAATCTGAGTACGAATGCCGGACGGAATGATTGACGAGGTGTTGTCAGGCCGACGGCTGGTCGGACCCCGAAGACCGAGCCGGACGACGGCTGCGGTCGTGTCGAGGAGTGCCGCGCGGCAGGCGCCTTCGTGGAGCACTGGCCGGCGACGCTGGAAACACAGAATGGACCACCGCAGCGTTGAGCACACGGGCCACAAAGCGTTGATACGACGGCGAGTCCTGCCGCAACTCGTGGCGGGCGTGAACTTCCAGGTCACGATGGTCTGTCTCGGCCAACCTCTTTTGGTTACGACGACCTTCTTCAGCTTGATACAGGTTGCACATGGCGTTGAGCAGCTCTCTGGGAGCCGCAAGGGACACGTTCTGAACGGCGTCGCCATGCACCGTACGGAAAACGGCAGCCACCTCGGAAGGATACCATTCCGCCGCTGCCTCCTGAAGAACGTGAAGCACCTGGTGCAATTGGTCCGCCCGGCGGATCGTTACGGCTGGAGCCGGCTCAGAGCCGCCCCACTGAGAATCCTCGTGAACCACTGTTCTGTCTTGACGGTAGCCCCCGGGGTCCTCCGAGGACAAGAAGTGGTCGAATGGACGGCTAAAGAAGTCCACCGAGAACAACATCTTGGCGGTCACTTTGGTGACCCGGTACTGCCCTCGAAAACACTCTTGACGATGGATGGCGCAGACTCGATCGTGCCACGGCATGTTAATGAAACGCCTGTATAACTCATCCGTACCTGCTGACCGAAGCGGGGGGCGCGGACCCATCCGAGCTGCGCGATGTACCGCAACCTCGCTGGTCGATGGTCGAAACAAACTGTTGCCAACCGGCAGGTGGCCCTGGGCCATCGCATCCGGCGACCGCGATCGGTCACGGGACCGCGAACGACGCCGCGAGCACGACCGGTGGTGACGGGAGCGAGAGTGACGGTGCCTGGCACCGGACCTGCGGTGAGGTCGCTCGGAGCGTAATCGTGAACGAGAACGAGAGTGCACCAGTCGGGACTGTGGGCTACCAGATCGAGATCGACGCGCCTGGCGCGGTGATCGAGAGCGACGCGCCTGATGCGGGGAACAAGAGCGTCGGAGGCGGCGTGGGGCCGGTGAACGGGAACGACCTCGTGCACGCCCACGTTGATCCGGCTCCGCCTGCCCATGTGCTTGCAGGTAGCCTCCCGGTGACCGTGGCTCCTCGTCGAGATCGTGACGCGGCCACTGATGACGACCTACTTGCTGCTCAACGATGCGAAGGTGAGTGGTGTCTCTTGGGACCGAATTAGCCATAGGGTCCGCGCGCCCCTGGGGCGGCGGAGGCAAAGTTGCGGGCTGGGCCACTTGCTGCTGTAACGATGCCAGCGTGGCTGTCATGGTCTCCATCTGGGAACGAAAGGCAGCATTGGCGTCGCGTTGTTCCTGTAATAGGCGCTGCAAGAACGTGTGGGTCGTAGACTGGTCCGGCCCGCGTTGTGGAGCACTCGTGGCTGCGCTGGCACCAGGTGCCGCTGGTGGGTCCACCGCGCGTGCGGTAGAGAACAGGTCGCAGGGAGTGAGGATCGTATCCTCGAGCGTAAGCAAGGGAAGACCATTGTCGTTTGACGACTCATGTAATCGATCCAAATCCACGGAGGCATTATCGTCGAACGTCGGGGTAGCCACGCATCGCCAGGCAAACGTAGCGGGAACCACTGAAGTCTTAGCCCCACTAGGGGTAACGTACGAGATGGCCTGGCCACCAATGTCGACCAAGACACCACCCGTCGCAGCAGGTGCCTTGAATAAACTCGTTAGTGCAGATCGTACACCCGCCGGTCCGACCGGCGGTGACGTAGTGAACAACTGCCAGGCAGTCGTAAAGTCAGGCAGTGGTGATGTGACGCGTACACCATGTCCAAAGCCCAGCAGGAATCCTTCACGTGAGATGGTTTGGCTGCGCATGTCATTCAATGGCACGGCTACCACTTGACGGGGCGCGTCCGCAGGGCCGCGCACGCCCACCATACACAAGTAACTGCATCCCGGATCCAGCACAAGGTTGATGTCATCCACCAAAACGATGGTCGAAGCTCGAACGTAGGAGAGGACTTGACCACATAAGTACACCTCGGAGGTGTGACGAACGAACTTGGTGTCACAATCAGTTGAGGCCACGAAGAACTGAGAAAACCGTAGGAACCGAAAGACTGAAAGAAGGGGGCGCTCCAGGAGCTCCTCCGACAAATCATGGGACGGGTGCGTCAGTCGCCAGTGTGGGATCCAATACTCCACGACAACGTGCTCCTGGAGCGCGGGGTCGACGTCCGATCGGCGCTGACCAGGCAGCAGAAACGTGAGGGTGGCCTGCCAGGCAGGCCGCTTCAATCCGTCAGCATCGTCGAAGAATGGGCTGGATGCAGACTCCCGCAGAACCGGATCACGACCAATCGTTGCGTACACGGGTCCATCCCAGCGGCCCGTCAGCTCATCCGGAGCCTCCAAGCGCACTGTTCTCCCTCCGAGGGACGAGTACGACGCCCGCGGCGGGTTTCGCGACGGAGCAGTGGGAGCAGAGGCGATAACGCGCATGAAAATTTTCCTGGCAACCTGGTTGCTTCTTCTCGGTAGCTCTGCGCTACTTGGTCGTCCGGTGCTCTGAGCTCTGGGCGGCGAATCGGTGAATGGTCTGGATTCGCCGTTCGCTCCGGTTCGGAAAAGCCCGGTTACGTTCTTCGTACTTAACCGAACACTTGTTAAGTAAAATAAAGATAAAAATAAGTGATCGTGTTCCATCAGAAAAAGGCTGGATTTGAAGGCGCAAAGGAGGACGAATCAAAATTCAACCCAGAGCTGAATTTGAAACCAGTCGTTTGGAGCTATCCTGCTGGATGTCATTTTTTGTGTTTCTTAGCGGAATAAAGCTGGTTGAGACATTCCAGCTCTTTAATAACAATTACAGCTGGTTTTAGCTTAGATCGAACACGGCCTAAATATTACCGGAATTGACAGTAAAATCACCGAAATTAATTACATCTAGCAGAAAATACTAGCAACTGGCAGCGTATTATACCATTTTAATTTAAATAAAGTAGCTACAGGTAGCTCGCACCTCACATACGAGGGAGTACTGTTTACACCAGTCTTTGTTAACAAAACACCAAAAGTATACAGTCAGCACCCCAGAAATGCATGTAGCACCGACCGATACCTATCAACCACTCGTTATTGTGATTGTGACACCACCAGACCACCAGCAGCACTGTTGTCCCGGAGACGCTCACTCGGCAGATTATTTTGGCTTATGGTCAAATGTCCACCACAAAAGTAACAGCCAGTAATACTTGAGGTACTCGGGCTTTCCTTTACTATCAACCATTCAGCAATCTCACCCCGCTAACCCAGCCACCAACTTCCCCCAACACCCCTCATGGTTTTCCGACACCATTGGCAGACACTCGCGGCTGCGACGCCCCAGATCGAGACCGACCGTCTACTCGGAGGCCGTAAGAAGTTCCGTGTTGCGAAAAGTGATCTCAAACAGTGCCATGTATTTATGAACGCCATTCCGCATCCAATGCGGATGCAGCGCCTGGATTGCGCGTGCAAGGCCTGTGAGGACGTCTCGACAACTGCTGTCTGCCCCTGGAGAGGTCGCGTCATGACGTGCCAGCAGACGCATCTCGTACCGATCGAAGAAGCCTACACCCATGCTAACCCTGCTCACGTCGCAAGCGCCCCCGTGCTAACAAACGCAATGAAAACGGCAGTGATGGATTGGGCTAGTCAAGGTCTCAAGCCGAAAAGGATTTGAAACGCGCTAGCCCAGCGTTTCAATCTAACTGAGACCACTACTGCACCACCGCTGGTGAGTCCAGCGCTTTGCGCATCATCATGTCACGGGGCGGCCTGGTGGCAGCGACCTGCGTGCCGCCGTTCACCGTAAGGTGCAGGAAACCGTTTTTACCGGACAAGAAGACGAGGCAGCTGCGTTCACGTTTACAAAATGCACAGATGTGAATGGCAATGCTGTCAATGGCAGCGGGAGCGACGCTAACCCCTTCGTGATTGGAGCTAGCACGAAAAAACTTCTACGCCGTGCCAATCGGGATGCTGCATCATTTATCCTACACGTGGATGCTACGTACAAGCTCACTCAAGTAAGCTACCCGGTCATCGCTGTTGGCATCTCGGATAGAGCGAGACAATTTCATCTCTTGGTGGACTTTATTGTGTCGCAGCAGCCACAAGACCAGCACACAGAGGTGCTCCAGCTACTTCGCCGCGTTTTTTTACTGTGATAGGTAAGCCTTTAACTATTCACTACGTGATGGGTGATGCCGACGCAGCCCAGTAAAACACCGTTGAAGAGGTGTTTGGGGAGGACTGCGAGTATACATACCTGATGTGTTACTTTCATGTGGCAAAGACGATATTCGAGAATACAGATTTCAGCATAGCAACATCGGGTAATGGCTGATGTCCACGACCTGCACTATACAGAACCCTTTTTGCTTCCTGATGCCACATATCGAAACGACGCAACGCGGTCCACTTCACAAACCACAACGTCGCCAAAAACACCACCTCATTTCAGTGCCCTTCTGGTAGACGAGAAGTACCGAATGAAACACCAAATTATTCAAGCACACGACATCGCCGGGTCGTTGGATAAGCACCGAGCTTACAGACGTACATAGCATTCTATTCAAGAAGTCCTCCTTGTTCCCGTAGTTGAAGGATGTGGTCGCCTTAGAAGCCGGAGGAAATGCCACTTAAATCTTGAAGGCCGTCTTCGCGCACGGGGGAAGGGACGAAATCACACGCCCGTGGTCGACGTGTATGAGGAACTCACGGTTCCCAGATTGAAGTCAGTATTCAGACCTACACATACAGGCTTCGTTGTGCGGAAATACGACTTGGAGTAGTAGTTTGACAGGTGTACGCTGTACTGGTCAGACGGGCAGAATTGGCCTTCTTCTTGCTCCTCCCTTGCACCCTTCTCCACGAACTCCCGAATGTTGGTCGCATCAAGGATGTGAAAAATGTGCTGGGGGTTGTTCGGAATACGTGTATACCCACGTACCCCTGCCACCGAATCACACGAGCCAACGAACACCAGTGCTGATGCCTCCAAATCCATCACTCGTGCCCATGAGAACGCGCCCAACACGTATCGGTCATTGCTGTACGGTATGCGGGTCTTGATCTTCTGCAGGTCGTGCTTCCGAGGGCCAAAGTCTACCCGATCGACAAGCTGCACCAACGCATCGATGATTTGCGCGTTCATCGTCGAGTGAGGTCGATATCCTAGGCTTGCAACTATTTGTAGAAAATTGGCTAGTTCAAAACTGCCAGCGAGTCGTTGGGTGCTACAGGGGTACCCTGGCTATACATGGGTGCTATTTGAGAAAATGCAGTGTTGAGTCTCTAAACTGACGGTGTTTATGGTATTTACTCCTCACATATCCTTTGTGTCGGATCACATTGATCGGAGGCACCTCGGACAAATCAGAAGATCGCTGTGATTTGCCTATGAAAACGTAGGGAGAAACTAACGAGGGGCCTCATCGGGAGGTCCCTCGCACAAAACGTACACGGTTGGGATAGGCAGATGAGATAGTCAGTAAGTACCAGTATAGTACCGGTTTAAATGGATGTAGACGAACTGCAGACGAACCACAAAAGTTGTCAAATACACAGAGTTCACCAATGAGTAATATCGGCTCTCAACGTGTTGTCATCTTACCTCCACCCCAATCTGTGTACGCCTCGCATGACCTAGCTGAAGAAGCGTTGCATCAGTGGGCTAAAGATCACGGGTTCAATCTTTCACTTCGCCGAGTTTGGTACACAGACGACGCTGACAGGAAGGTGTGGGCACGGAACTTTGAGTGCGATCGCTCCGGAGCCGTGAAGGCACTCAGCACTTGACCGAAGAGACCCGAACGCGCACCATGCGAGGTTCAAAACGCTCAGGATGCCCCATGCACATTGCACTGCACGCTGTAAGCAAGGCAGAAATTGACGGGCCTTGGAGGGTTGCTCACACGGCACGGAGCGCTCACCAGAACAACGAACCGTCCCGAGACATTCGAGCTCATGCTGCTGTCAGGCGCCGTGCTGCTCAAAGATCTCAGGAAGAAACCTCGGTGACCACGTCAGACCTGGTGGAGCTCCAGACTGCAGCAGGGGTTACCTCTTCGACCAATTAAGCCACGCTTATAAGTGCCGATCCAGACTCGCTCGTGATCGCCAAAGACATCGCCAACACAAGAAGTGCTGTTCGTAGACGAGATCTAGCTTCTCATACAGCGATAGAAGCCCTATTTGTGGAGCTTCGAAAGCACAAATTCTATCACAAGTGGCGCGTCAATCAAGAACGAACGAGGTAACCCACCTTATTTGGGCTCATCCCGGCACCACTGAGCTTTTCAAGCCTCACCATGATGTGCAAGTTGCCGACTGCACCTACAAGACGAACAAACATCGCATCCCGCTGCTCAATATATCAATGTTGTTACCGGAGCTAATACAGTTCTTCCCGTTGCTCAATGTTGGCTTCCTAGTGAGAAAGAAGAAGACTTCGTTTCACCTTTCAACATGCTACGTCTCTTTATGATTGAGAACGATATAGACCCTCCTATTGTCATTCTCACTGATCGGGATCTCGCCTGTCTAAACTCACTGGACCGTGTTTATCCCGACGTACCTTCGATGATATGTCGCTGGCACATGAACAAGAACGTGGAGAGCATGACCAGAAAGCACTTAGGCCAAGTAGACGTCGAGAGCCCAGCCCCGAGACAACCAAAAAAGGAGAACTCTTGGGAAATAAATTCCTTCATGGCTACGATTTATGAAGCAGTGGAGGCAATCTCAGAAGCAGAGTTTGAAGAAAAACGCAAGGTCCTTGCCTCAAAGAGCTAGGTGGTGTCCGACTACCTAGATCTGCATTGATGGAAGTACAAGTCGCAAATTGTGAGATACTGTACAAGCAAGTACACCCACTTCGGTGTCCGAGACACATATACAGTCGAGGAAACGCATACCAAGATCAAAGCCAAATTGAAATCAAGCCAAGGCGACTTGTACACAGCTTTCAAGAAGCTGTGTAGCTGGTGGACAATTGCTGCTTCCGAAACAAGTTTGCTCATGGCTCAACATGCAACGATTGCGCCTCAGTTGCTGCAAAAGAGCAGATACAATCGAGCTCTCAGGATTATCACGATAAATGCTTTGAGAGACATAGAGAGGTTGTGGATGGATGCGGAGAAAATTGTCTCTGGTGGAATTGAACGTAGTCCTTGTTCCGGGGAGTTCCGTGCTGTCCATGGTCGCCCTTGTCTCCACGACCTTATTGCAGTCATAGAGTCGAATGGACGGAAGTACATCACTCCGGATCATTTCGACAAGCACCGGTGGATTACCGCGACATAGGACTGCCCTTGCAAGAATTCAAGACCCTACTACCCTGCAGCAATGTAGGTCCAAGAAAAGCACGCGCAGAACGCGGCTAGCAAACCAAGGTAGTACAGGGACCGGCCGCGACCCGACATATAGTGAACGAATCGACATAAATCACCCGGCTA